TTTTTTCCCCCATAGCTTACCTGTCTAATATCAATCTGTCAGGAGATAGTGACAGAGTGAACAAATATGTAAAAAATACATTTTTAGAAAAGTTACATACTGCACCTTTAAGTGTTGGGTGACCATATTGTAAATTAATATTAAAAACTAAAAGCTGCAAAAAAAATACATTTTCAAGCAATTTATTGGCAAAATTTAGTCTAATAATTGAAAACATGGATGAAATAAGAAATAGGAAACAAATAAAATAAAATACATACAAAGCAGAACACAGCTAAATGCATCAAAAGCATGTCTATGTAATATTAGAATTTTCTGAGACAATGAAGTTTGGTTTTTCTTTCTTTTTTTTTTTTTACCAGTGAGAGGTTTTTATTTAATAGAATTTTTGGACAAAAAAATCGCAATATATCGCCTTGCTTACAGTATCGCAATATATCGGGATATATCGTATCGTGACCCCTCTGTCATGATATGTATCGTATCGCCAAATTCTTGCCAATACACAGCCCTAGTCTACACAGCACAGCTTTTGTTGAAAAGCAAACACACTCATTCTGTTGATTTCAGAGGGCAATGACCTGAAATGATGCAGCACTTTATTTAAAGGCAATTGTGTTTTTTAGAGTTGCATTACTAAATAACCCTGCAATCCCACACCGAGGAGAAACTGGACAGTGATACGGACAGTAAAAGTGGAACGTAATGAAAGCTGCAGTGTGTCACAGAATCTGGATGTTTCTATACTTTACAATGACGTTCATAACGAAAAGAGGAAGATGCCAAGTGTCAAGAAATGACTGAATTTAACACTGTCAGCACAACTGCAAGAAAATGTGATGATTCTGCACAAAAAGACAAGAGTTCATGACTATTATTATTTTTACTGTTGGTTGTAATTACAATAAGTTTACTTAATGCAATATTGTGTGTAGTGAATTAATAAATATCTGTACCTGTTCACATGTTACCAGTTCACTGTGGCCAGGGGAGACACCTAAAGCTGATTCATTTCTAAAATGGCAAATATTTACCAGGCATTGGTTTACTTATGACAGCAGGCGGCTGAAAACAGGTCAACAATGATGATTTCACTGGAAGAGTCGTTTGGGACAGAGAATTCAGAGCGTTATGATGCATTTATGCTCAGATTTGTTAAGTAATGTGCAGGTAAGCTTGTGGTGAATTCAGCAGAGTTCTTTGTTTACATTGTGCGAATACATTTATAAAACTATGGACTCTTTCAAACTGCACCAATTTATATAGTTCAGGATTATATTTTTTAGATTTTATTAATAGTTTGCAATGAGCAAAATTTTATTATTTCAGATACACTGACTATTAAAAACACAACACATTTATATTATTAAAACCAACACATTATATACAAAAACTTTTAGGTCTGAGTAAATTTTTTTTAAATCAATTTAATTGATCTTGGATCACTATTATTTAAATTTTCAATACTGATTCATTTGACATGAGGTGTATTTTTACCCATGACAGTCCTGTGCATGATGAGGCAGAAGTGTGTTTATATGTTTTGTGTCACTCCCGGCTTGCTGTACGTTTACATCAGTTGATGTTCAGCGCTAACATTAGCTTCTGACAAAACAGCAAAACAAACAAAAAATATATATTTTTTCAAGAATCACTAACATTACCAGCCAATGTTGTTTGCAAGAGGAAAAAAAAGTAAATTTGTGTTTTGCAACACACTTGAACCGCAAGAGCAGATTGAAACGAATCACGATGAATGGATTCTAGCCTGGTTAAAACCAGACCCTGTCCTTCACTTTGCTTCATACAAGGGTCTGGACTTGATGCATAGACAAGTGTTTCTTGCAGGAGGCGTGGCCTCTGCTGAAGCATGTGTGTGTCGCTGTGACGGAGGCTAAGCTAAGAAGCTAACCGGAAATTGTGTGCTGTAAACAACCCTACTGAGAGGAGAGAAGTACCGAGTTGAACGAGACGACTGTAAATGAGAGCTGCTGCTTTGTCAGACTAATTTATTTTAATTTGGAAGCCTTATCAACACGGACTGGCTTCATTCACTTCCTCCACTGCTGTATGCTAAACTAACTAACAGACACTGTGCAGAACATCGACGTCGTTCAAAACTCCTCCTTCTGTTCTCTGATTGGTCCAGGTAAAATAAACTACAAGCAGACACTGCGCAGAAAATCGACGTTCTGTTCTCTGATTGGCCCGGCTAAAAATCTGCCAGTGAAATCCTTGTTTATGGGAGAAGTCCCAGACGGAGCAGAGAAACTAGAATTGAGCGGAGCTGCATAGGAAGGCAAGGGCCAGGCTGAATGGATTCAGAACCTTATGAATGAAAATTGAACTGATTTAGGGAACTGGCCACGATACCCAGCCCTAGAAACCACATTACTTCATCATATACGATGTTCACGTTGCCTAAAAGCTTGTAATGTTTGCTAATTGCAAACAAAACCTTCTGTCATATTCTGACACTCTCAGAGCTTAGCCACAAGAAATGCAAACATTTTCTAACGCAAGTGTTAAAAATCAAACTGCAGCCACAACACTGACACAAGCAGCAACTTTCACACTAACCACAAAAATGTTGAGAAGAAAATAATCTTTATTTTGCTCTTTGTGTCACATAAACAGCTGCTTTCCCAGGAGTGAAAACTCACCGCAGATAATCAAAGTTTTCCCTGGATTTTATTTGAATACTTGTGCAGAGAAACATCAACAGGAAAATGAGGACAGGCATGACTTCAGCTAATGATCAGCTCAACTAGTTTGGAAATGAACACAAATTGACTGCATGTGATTTCACCACCAGAGTGTGACAGGAATTATAGCTTAAAACTAGGGTTGGGCAATATTGGCAAAAAAATTAATCACGATTAATTGTGGTATTTAGCCAAAAATGATTAATTTGACAATTAATCCCCTGGAGTCCCTGGACACCCTTATTTCATAGTCACATGACCAATTTAGTGGGAAAGATTTGCTCTTCATAAAAATCTGTTCCAAACTGTCAAAATTACAGATTTCAGGCTATACATCATATTTTAAATTGTGTTGATAGTTAAATAAATTACAGAACTTTATTTTTGATGTTTGTCATATTTGAAGCAGAGAAGAGCATCGAGCGGACTGACCGGAGTAACTCCCAGTCCATCTGCCTGGTGGCATTAATCGTATTAATCGTCAAGCGACAAAAAATAATCGATTAATGTTTTTCTGACGATTAATTGCACACGATACGATTATGTCCAACCCTACTTAAAACACAAGTTTATAATCTACAAGAAGAAGAATTACCTTTAAGTCTGGTTTCACTCCAGTTAATAAAACTGTTTTATATCTTCAAACCCAAAAACGAGGACACTTGACTGCAGGAAGCAACTTGAATATCAAACTTTAATAAATGAATAAGCATCCATTATCGGACTAATCCATAAAGTCCTACATATTCTACTCATTTACAAAAACTAAAATAGAAACACATAACAATGTAGACAAAAAAGCCCTCAAACACGGAAAAACCAATACAAAGCAGATAAAAGCAGTGTGCACGGGGCTCAACAGAACACCTAGCCCAGTTATAATTTAGCTAGTTAGACTGGGGGGGTGTCGTGTCCAATTCTGTACACCCCAACAACCCATTCCTCCTGTGCAGCAACTTTGAGCTTTCAACCTAAAGTACACATTTTAGCCGGGTCATAACAGACAGTTTTCACTCCGGTACAAAAACAAGACTCTACATGTTGCACACTCAGATTTAAAAAATGAAGTTGGGGGRAAATAACGCAACTCGGATACAGAAGTACGAAAAACACCCGTGAGTCATGAGTGCACTGGTCGCTGCTAGCAACTAGCTAGTTTTACGACTGAGCTCCAGTGCAGACTCCGTGTTTAYTTGTAACCGCTCACAAACCACAGACACATATTTGACGTTTAGATAAACGATCAGCCTCAACGGGCCTTTGTCTAATAAAGGARACAATTGGCATTAGCTTGCTAGCTTGTTGTGTTTACATGTGGTTAGCTAATCGCATGCCGCCCCGCTCTAACAGCGGGTCCGTTCCTTTAACTGTCCGCCGGCTGGAAGTGGAAACGAGCGGCACGGAAATGGGCTGGACGTTAGGTGGATGAGTTGCGCTAAACGTTTGTTGTTTCAATCTAAGATTTTAATAACGACACACACGGTTCATGTATGTTTCTATCGGCCGCATTGTTCTCGGTTGGTGTACACTAAAACCGAGCGGGGCATCCGGTGTTGTAAAATGGAGCAGACCCTTCAGTACATGACGGTTAGCTTGAGGCTAAGCTAACTGTAACACGTGATAACGAAACTRCAGCTAAAAACCGAGCTAGGAGCTCAGCCTTAGCAAAAGTAAATAGCCACTGCGCGTATTATACGCGCGAAAAATGTTTAAACCGCATGCTATGAGCATGATCATCACATATAAACAAAATAAAAACATACTCACCACGTCTCCTGGTTGCTGAACTTCTTCGTTATCACCTTCCCCAGCTCCAGCCCGAGCCGATCAGCCACTTTCTGGGACAGGTCGTGATGCGAGCTCCCGCTGAAAAGCACGATGTTCGGCATCTTCGAAGGCGAGGAGGAGAAGAACCCGTGGCGGCTTGTTGAAGACAAGAAGAGGGAAGATGTGAGGAGGGGGTCTCTCCCCGCTGGAGGGTGGTGAAGACGGGGGGAAACGAGCCTGCTACAGATGCAGCCGTGGCAGGGCACCTCAGCAGCGCTGCGGAGAGGAAACCAGGGGGAAGTTCCTGCCGCTCATTGGACGCTGAGCTCAACTGTTTACTAATATCCGACAGGGCTGCTGTCTCCGTGATAACAAAATAATGTCTCAGGAAGCCCTGGGCAAAGCTGTACAACTGTTGAACATTAGGAGTTAGTCCAATTAAAGGTCAACAAACTCCAAAACAAACACAACTCAGTCAGTTTTAAGCTGAAACTTAGTGTGGTAGTAGCTGAGAGTCATCCACAACACACACTGAACACCTTTAGGAGTGCTAGGCCATGCTATTTTTTTTTAATTTTATGTTTTACTTATAATTAGACCATAAAATTACACAAGGTTTAGTTTTCAGACATTTTTAAATTTTAATGCCACTCTTTTGTATTTCACATAATGTAAAACACCAAATTTCCACAAAGCTGCGAAGAAAGCCGTGTTGAAATGTTTCAAGTCCTTACTTTTTCAACTATTATTTGCAGACTTTTAGACTTTTAGATATGAAATTCGTTCCAGAAGATTAAAAAAGGAAAAAAAAAATCTAAGTAAATAGGGAGAAGTCACCTGACAGCATACATTGACTCCCGCCTGATTCTGGGTTTCCTAATTAGATTTTCCACTTGGAGGAAAGTCACCTGAGACCGTCTAAAATCTGTCTTATTTTTAAGTTTCTTTATAAGCAGGAAAGATAAGAATCCACAAAGAGTTATCCCTTAGACACACGGACCACGTCCTTCACATCAAGCCCTGTTGATTATCAAGAATTGCCTTGAACTAACATGGACTTTGACGTGAAAGTTGTTTTAAAAAAAACTCCTTGTTTTTTTTCTTTTCCACCAGGTAATCAGGAGTCTTAACATCCTGTTAACTGGGAGCTTATTTGTTGAATTGATTCAGCTCAGGCCTCCTGATATTGATACCACAACGTTTCTCAATCCTGACCCTGTTCAACTTTCAAAAATGTAAATGCACATTGCCCTCCACCTTTAATGTCAGAGTTAAACAAAGTCATCTGGTAATGAAAAAAGATGTCATTGTAGCTGCTTTGGTCAAATATTTTATCTGTTTTTCTGCACCGATACACTGTATTGGTAATAGTCTGTCTTTTCCAATGCTTAATACRTATGCATGTTATGTACACTGTTGAAAACTGACTCAGCTCGATTCAGCTGCACACCCCTTTGGATCTTAAGTCCAATGTGCCTGTTTCTAAAACTGCACAGTATTTTATTATTGTTAATCTTTTTTCTTTATATGTTGTTTTGAACACTAAGAACTTTTTGCTTGAACATATACAGTATATATATAATCTGCTGCTGCTGTTGGACCTGAAATTCCCCTGTGGGACAATAAAGGCTATTTCTATTCTATTTACAGTACAAACCAAAAGTTTGGACACACCTTCTCATTCAAAGAGTTTTCTTTATTTTCATGACGATGACAATTGTAGATTTACACTGAAGGCATCAAAAATATGAATTAACACGTGGGATTATATACTTAACAAAAAAGTGTGAAACAACTGAAAATGTGTTTTATATTCYAGGTTCTTCAAAGTAGACACCTTTTGCTTTGATCACTACTTCACACARTCTTGATGAGCTTCAAGAGGTAGTCACCTGAAATGGTTTTCACTTCACAGTTGTGCCCTGTCAGGTTTAATAAGTGGGATTTCTTGCCTTATAAATGGGGTTGGGACCATCAGTTGTGTTGTGCAGAAGTTGGATACAGTACACAGCTGATACTCCTACTGAAGAGACTGTTAGAATTTGTATTATGGCAAGAAAACAGCTGCTAAGTAAAGAAAAATGAGTGGCCGTCATTACTTTAAAAAATGGTCAGTCAGTCCAAAAAATTGGGAAAACTTTGAAAGTGTCCCCAAGTGCAGTCACAAAAACCATCAAGTGCTACAAAGAAACTGGCTCACATGAGGACTGCCCCAGRAAAGGAAGACCAAGAGTCACCTCTGCTGCGGACAATAAGTTCATCCGAGTCACCAGCCTCAGAAATGACAGGTTAACAGCAGCTCAGATTAGAGCAGCATTTCCCAAAGCTGGGGTCGGGACCCAAAGTGGGGTCCTGAAACATCAAAGTGGGGTCC